GCAGCAGACTCACAGAACCCAGGAATGGACCAACAGTTACCAAAGGGAAAGGGACTGGGGAGGATGGGTGGGAAGGGAGGGATAAAGGCAGGGAAAAAGAAAGGGGGCATTACGATTAGTATGTATAATGTGGGGGGGGGCATGGGGAGGGCTGTACAACACAGAGAAGACAAGTAGTGATTCTACAGCAACTTACTACGCTGATGGACAGTGACTGTAATGGGGATTGTGGGGGATGGACTTGGTGAAGGTGGGATCCTAGTAAACATAATGTTCTGCATGTAATTGTAGATTAATGATAACAAAATTTAAAAAAATACATCCTTAAATATTTATATAGGGCACAAAAAAGTAGGGGTGCTTAATCCAGTCACTAAATACTTCTCTAACTTCCTCTCTGGGTACTTTCCTAACTCACACTCTATACTCTACTATGTTAATCTTTTTTCAATCTCTGGAATAGTCCATGCTCTCATCTCAAGTCTACACACTCTGTACCCTCTGAGAGTACTCCATGACTTCCTCACCCCTAATGTTGATAATTCCTAATCATCCTGCAGGTCTTGGCAAAGACATCACTAGCCTTAGAAAAGCCTTATCTGGTCCTGTACCTATCCTATATCAGAGTATCATGATAGTAGAGTAAGTATCATATAAAATTAAGTACTTGTCTGTCTCCCTCCATTAAATAGTGAGAGTCAGAAGAACAAGAATCATATTGATTGTATATACTTTTGCATCCCTATGGTCTAGCACAGCAAATAACTGATATAGATGCTGGATAAAAAGTAGCAGAATTAATGGAAAAAATCACAACTCTTATCCAAAAATTTTTTAAAACATTATTTTTTGAGGGTGGTGACAGGTAATTAATAATATTTTCCATGACTAATTATTTCCTACAAACCTGTCATTCATTCAAAAACTCTTAATTCAAAGACAATGTACATTTTTTATTATAGTCTCTGCTAAAAGACTGACTAAATATTTAAGTTATTTTATATATTTACCTCAAATATGCTTCAAGAATAAACATGTCTTAATTACTGTTAATTCTTCTGTTAATTAGTTGGGCATGTTTAATAAAAACTATTAATAAGCTTCCTCTGGAAGAATTAGTTTTTTTCAAATTTACTGATGGGAGAGGGTAAGGAAGGAGGAACATTTCACATTTACACTTCTGTATGTCCTATATTATGTAAAGCCTTCCAAGTGTAGCAGCTGTAGTGGGCTCATTCTGCTGTATTTCTCCCATGACATCTACTATAACGCTTGACATAAATATTTGCATAAACGCTTCAACCCTACAAATGTCATAAGATATCAATATTGCAAAAATACATCAAGAGGGTCATACATCATGATCAAGCGGATTCATCCCAGGGATGCAAGGATGGTACAATATTCGAAAACCCATCAACATCATCTACTATATTAGTAAAAAGAAGGACAAAAATCACAGGATCATCTCCATAGATGATGAAAAACCATTTGACAAAATTCAATACCCATTCATGATAAAAATTCTCCACAAAATGGGTATAGAGGGCAAGTACCTCAACATAATAAAGGTCATATATGACAAACGCACAGCCAACATCATACTTAACAGTGAAAACCTGAAAGCTTTTTCTCTAAGATCGGGAACAACACAAGAATACCCACTCTCCCCACTTTTATTCAATATAGTACTGAAGGTCCTAGCCATTGCAATCAGACAACACAAAGAAATAAAAGGCATCCAGATTGGTAAGGAAGAAGTTAAACTGTCACTGTTTGCAGATGACATGATATTGTACATAAAAAATCCTAAAGAATCCACTTTAAAACTACTAGAATTAATAACTGAATTCAGCAAAGTTGCAGGATACAAAACTAATACAAAGAAATCTGTTGCATTCCTGTACACTAATGATGAACTAGCAGAAAGAGAAATCAGGAAAACAATTCCATTCACAATTTCATCAAAAAGAATAAAATACATAGGAATAAACCTAACCAAGGAAGTGAAAGACCTCTACTCTGAAAACTACAAGACAATCTTGAGAGAAATTAAAGAGAACACTAACAAATAGAAATTCATCCTATGCTCTTGGGTAGGAAGAAATAATATTGTCAAAATGGCCATCCTGCCTAAAGTAATCTACAGATTCAATGCAATCCCTATCAAAATACCAACAGCATTCTTCATCAAACTGGAACAAGTAGTTCTAAATTCATATGGAACCACAAAAGACCCTGAATAGCCAAAGCAATCCTGAGAAGGAAGAATAAAGCAGGGGGGATTATACTCCCCAACTTCAAGCTCTATTATAAAGCCACAGTAATCAGGAAAATTTGGTACTGACACAAGAACAGACCCCTAGATCAACAGAACAGAATACAGAGCCCAGATATAAACTCAATTAATAGATGATAAAGAAGCCATGGACATACAATGGGGAAATGACAGCCTCTTCAACAACCAGTGTTTGGAAAACTGGATAGTTACATGTAAGAGAATGAAACTGAATTACTGTCTAACTCCATACACGAAAGTAAACTAGAAATGGATCAAAGACCTGAATGTAAGTCATGAAACCATAAAACTCTTAGAAAAAAACATAGGCAAAACGCTCTTGAATATAAACATGAACAACTTCTTCATGAACATATCTCCACGGGCAAGGGAAACAAAAGCAAAAATGAACAAGTGGGACTATATCAAACTGAAAAGCTTCTGTACAGCAAAGGACACCATCAGTAGAACAAAAAGGCATCCTACAGTAAGGGAGAATATATTTATAAATGACATATCTGATAAGGGGTTGACATGCAAAATATATAAAGAGCTCATGTGCCTCAACACCCAAAAAAAAAATAACCCGATTAAAAAATGAACAGACACTTACCTCTCCAAAGAAGAAATTCAGATGGCCAACAGGCACAAGAAAAGATGCTCCACATCGCTAATCATCAGAGAAATGCAAATTAAAACCACAATAAGATATCACCTCACACCAGTTAGGATGACCAACATCCAAAAGACAAACAACAACAAATGCTGGCAAGGATATGGAGAAAGGGGAACCCTCCTACACTGCTGGTGGGAATTTAAACTAACTCAACCATTGTGGAAAGCAATATGGAGGTTCCTCAAAAAACTCAAAATAGAAATACCATTTGACCCAGGAATTCTACTCTTAGGAATTTACCCTAAGAATGCAGCACCCCAGTCTGAAAAAGACAGATGCATCCCTATGTTTATCACATCACTATTTACAATAGCCAGGAAATGGAAGCAACCTAATGTCCATCAGTAGATGAATGGATAAAGAAGATGTGGTAGATATACACAATGGAATGTTATTCAGCCATAAGAAGAAAACAAATCCTACCATTTGCAACAACATGGATGGAGCTAGAGGGTATTATGCTCAGTGAAATAAGCCAGGCAGAGAAAGACAAGTACCAAATGATTTCATTCATATGTGGAGTATAAGAGCAAAGACAAACTGAAGGAACAAAACAGCAGCAGAATCACAGAACCCACGAATGGACTAACAGTTACCAAAGGGAAAGAGACTGGGAAGGATGGGTGGGAAGGGAGGGATAAGGGCAGGGAAAAAGAAAGGGGGCATTACAATTAGCATGTATAATGTTGGGGGACATGGTGAGGGCTGTACAACACAGAGAAGACAAGTTGTGATTCTACAGCATCTTACTATGCTGATGGACAGTGACTGTGAAGGGATACATGGAGGGGTACTTGATGAAGGGGGGAGACTAGTAAACATAATGTTCTTCATTTAATTGTAGATTAATGATACCAAAAAAAAAAAGAAAAAAACCCCCTCAAAATAGAAATACCATTTGACCTAGGAATTCCACTTCTAGGAATCTACCCTAAGAATGCAGGAGCCCAGTTTGAAAAAGACACATGCACCCCTATGTTTATCGCAGCGCTATTTACAATAGCCAAGAAATGGAAGCAACCTAAGTGTCTATCAGTAGATGAATGGATAAAGAAGATGTAGTATATATATATACAATGGAACATTATTTAGTCATAAGAAGAACAAATCCTACCATTTGCAACAACATGGATGGAGCTGGAGGGTATTATGCTCAGTGATATAAGCCAGGTGGAGAAAGACAAGTACCAAATGATTTCACTCATCTGTGGAGTGTAAGAATAAAGCACAAACTGAAGGAACAAAAGAGCAGCAGAATCACAGAACCCAAGAATGGAGTAACAGTTACCAAAGGGAAAGGGACTGGGGAGGATGGGTGGGAAGGGAGGGATTAAGGGAATAAGGTGGATACAAAAGTCAATACTTTCATACATGATTATAGTTGAACAATAACTGATAACTACTGCACCTTTTGGTGCCACCTGGAAATATAGAGACAGCAAATAAACTGAAGAGAGATTGATATGTGTTTGTGTTTGAAATAATGTACACATTGATATGTATTACATATAGTTTTTAAATACCATTTATGTATTGTATACCTGTTTATTGGTATCAGCCACAGTTTCATCCTGAAGAAACTCACTTGGTACCTCAAGTTTTATTAAAAAATGAGCTAAATATGCTCTTTTCTTCAGTTGATTAATCCTCTGAAGAAGCCAGTGGAGCACTGGGTAAATTACAGGTTTACTTCCAATCACTAGACCTTGACGAAAAGTACTCCTAGAAAAAGAAAATACACACACATATACTCAGGCTTATAAGTAAACCTTGAAAGAGATCATATTCGCCAAACCAGATTTACAGTTTCCTAACTGTTTTCCATGACTACTTTAAGATAAAACCAAAGCTATTCTAAAGTCAGTCTGCACATTAACAATAAACATAAAATTAGGCCCTCAATATGTCACTAGAATATTTGGGAAGATTGTGTTGGAACATAAATTGGTACAATCAGCCCTCCTGCTTCACTTCATTGACTGGGTGGATTTAAGTTATTGTATTTTATCTAGGATGGCAAATAAATGATGAAATGGAATAGTGGATTTGACTGACTTTTTTTGATTAGGAGAAAGAACTGGCCCACTTAAGCCTTGTGCATGACATTCAGTAATGTTCTGAGACTAGTAGAGAGACCAAATATTGCTTAGGAAGACAGATCATAGCCTATGAAAGTTTGGAATAGTAAAGTATAGCTTTAAGAAAGCAACATGTGATCAGAGTCTTACATGTCTGTGGCATTTCCTGGAGGTTTGTATTTAAGGATACCAAGAAGGCTCAACATCCGTTTGGCTGTCTGCTCTGGCATCTCCTCTCTGATATCAACAATTTGCTAACAAAGAAATTGAAAAAATACGTTATTGCTGTATATCTAACAAAGAATAATATTTATACTCACTGACAAAACTGTTCTGCTAGAGCATAACAGGCACTGTGGTCTCTTCATAAGATTAAGTATGGAGGCCTCCAGATCCCAGGTGAAGGTATGTACAAGTCAGATCAGGATTCATACTAAAAATGTCAAGCTTAAAAAAGTCTCCCGTGGAAAAGACCAGTGTACAAGAGAGACACATGAGCTAACTTGCAATACAATAAAACTTTCTGTAAAAGCTTTTCACTCCAGGACCAAATCTACTTATGTTTGGAAGTAGAGAAATAATTGTTAAATAAGGTACAAGCAGATAATTTAATTTTTGAGCGAGTACTATTGCTATTACTTTACAGACATGGAAAATAAGGCCTAGAGAGGTTAAATAATTTGTACAACTTAAAGATAAGTAAAGGTAGGAAATGGCTTTCCTGCCACCCTTTTCATTACAGAGAAAGAGAAAACTCTTACCTTTGGGTCAATCTCAGCCAGAACATCATTGAGAACTTGTAATAGCTGCATTGGCTCCAGGGAATCAAATGTGATTAAATTATAGTTCTTCCTAAAAGGCTCCTTATTGAGATTGTCCACTATGAATTTGATTTGATCACTCATAATTGGGTCTTGTAACTTAAACTAAGGAGTAAAAATACAGAAAAAAATCCTCAATATTGATAACAAAAGTTCTGGAAAAAAATTAGCAATATTTATAGGAAATAGGCATGAAAAGTATAATTCTACATGGCATACAAAATGCTGTGAAAACTAGTTATTTTGTTGAAAGAAATCAGAGTACAAAGACTTTATTATGAATGCTACAGTATATACTGTTAATATTTAATGCCAAATGTTTCTGTATATGCAGCTGGTAGGATAAAAACCATCTGAATTAAGGTGGACAAATGAACAATAAATCCTACCTGCATCTTTCCCATTCAGCTCCCCAACTTTTACCCAAGAGTAAAAATTTGTTAGGCTGCAAGCATGCTTCTAATTATTTGTTATTAGCAGCCCGTATGTAAAAATTAGGAAATTTTTTACATTAAAATCCAGATGTCCAGTTGCTCTTGAAAATCTGTATCTGGCAACCCTGGGCTCAACCATGGCCATACCCAACTGAAGCTGAAAAGAGGCTGTCAGCTTTAGCCTCTTCTGTTTTATTTTGGTTTCCTCAACCAGCATTCTTCACCCATTGATGTTATGGGCTTGGCCCTGCAGACATCAACTTTGCTACCCTGGAGTAATTCAGGCCTATATTTCCTTACCCTTCCGTAAGGTAACAGCCTCAAATTTTCCTGTCTCTGCCTTTCCCAATCCAAATCATTTGTAGGAATCTTCATTGCTTATGAAATAAAGTCCAAACTTCTTATATTTTGAGATATTTTAAGATCCAGTTCAATTTAGCCTTTCCTAACTTTATTTCCGAATTGTTACCTTTCACCCTTTTCCAAATTTCAGTCAACTTTACTAGTACTACTCCCTAAATAGTTTTTCCACCTCTGCCTTCAGTTAATGTTTTCTCCACCTTAAGGCCTTCCTTCCTTTCCCCCATCTCCAGAGATGCAAATTCTAACAGCTTTTTGAGCTCTGCCCTCCAAATTTAAGTTCCTCCAGGAAATCTTCCTCAAGTTAATCCCCAAATTCTGCATCAGGATAACAAGCGCCTTTCAGGCTGACCACATTTTACCTGCCCTGCTCTCCTAGAGTTACTTTTCTAATTTGTACTAGTTACTTATGTACATTTTTTCTTCTCTATTCAACTGTAAATCCATGAGGATATATCCATGCCTAATTACATCTTTGAAAACCCACTACATCTAAAACAGTGACTCCTTCCACTAGACTGAATGAATTGTTCACAGGCCCAAGGCCAGGCAAAACATAAACTGAAATAGGCTGACAGTGAGAATGATCATAACTTATTTAAAAATTGAGTATCTGATGATTTAATTGCTGAAACAGCTTTATCTAGGTTCCTGGTGTTTCCTGCATGCAGGTATCACTTGTTTAGTATGGGAAGTGGTAGAAATTTTGTAGGCAGTCAATTTTTTAAACTAGCGATTTAAAAAAATTTTTTTAATGAGCTGGTAAAAAAGAAACAAAAATTACTTCATTTCTCCCTAATAGTTTTTAACCATGAAATAGATAGATGCCATTTTACCTAAGACTGATTGAAGTTGCATCCATCTTGCTCTGAAATAGGTTTTTTTAATTGGGTGGGTGGAGCTGGATGCTTAGAAAACATAAAAAATATTTGATGTAATTAGTACTTTAAAGTACAGTAAAGATATTATACTTTCTCCATAATTATACCAAAATTATGAGTACATATTGTTAAAAATAAGCCAAAAAGACATCAGAAAGGTTAACCAAGTTTAAAAATATGAAATTTCTTGTAAGCTATAAAAGGAAAGCCTTTACATAAATAAAAATCCACATTGCAGATGCAAGTTTTCCATTGTTAGAAATATTTTAAGTAAAAAGTCCACATCATCACTTTCACATATTTAATTTTTAGATGTAAAATGATTTACAAATTATATGATGTATACATATACCACACACACACACATTTTTTTCCCTTTCAAACAAAACAAAAACAAAACACTAAGTAAACGCGTTACCAAGAGGAAATGAAAATAGTTGGGTTCCCCCCCTAGTTAGCCCCCAGCCTTCAGATGGTCACCGGCTAAGGCCAAAGATGTAATGAACGGGTCAGCCATGCGCAGTGGGCTCTGTGCTCTAAAATTAGCAAAAGCAATTATTCTCCTTCAGCGGAAAGCTGCCACACTAATTCACAAGCACCCACAGAAGAACCCGAGAGGGTCGGGGTAAGAATTAAAACCAGGACGTGCGTTTATCTGGCACAACTTGGGACAGAAATGACTTTGCTGGTCCCAGGCTGGCAAGAGCGCGGGACCAGCAGCCTCACAGGATTCCCCAAAATAGTGTCCTCCCCGTGCTCGGGGCTAGGGATAGGGGACAGGGGACCCCACATCCGGCCCAGACACCTCGCAGACGCAGCTCTGGGCCCCAGGAGACTGTTCATCCCGCGGGGGAGGGGCCTGTATCACCCGGAGGCCCGGTAGAGGCCGACCCCGATTTGAGGGTTTAACTGCTACGACTCTACAACTTTCGAGGTGCTGCACTGAGAAGGGAAGGGAGAGGGAGTTCTCTCCTACTTTGGGAATTCTGGAGGTTTCTGACCGGCGGGTTAGCGAGGTTACCTCAAATTCTCCTCAAGAAACCACTTTTCCCCCCGCAGGAGGTGTGCAGGCTCTGGTGGGTTCCTAGAGACGAGCTCCCTGGCAACGGTTGCTACGCCGTGGCTTCCCGTCACTTCCGGCGGGAGCCAGCGCGTTTCCGCGGGGTCCCCTCGGCCTGGGAGCTGGGAGTGCCGGGCGAAATACGCGGTGGGTGCGTAACCTCTGAGCCACTGCTAAGAGCCTAGAGAATTTGGGGTCGTTACCATGGCAATAAACTCTCTCCAACGTGCTGCAGTTTGCAGTTTACAAATACTTTAATTTTTACCACATGTTAAGTGTGTGTCCTTTCATCCATTCATTTATTCACCAAAGGGGTGATGACTTCTCTGAAGCAAGGCCAGTGGGATTTGGGTTGAGAAAGCTTTTGGCTTGGGCTTCAGATTTAGGCTTTTGACAAACGTTTCTCCAAATTAGGTTATACAGTTCAAGAGAGTCGCTGGCAGAATTAAAAGCAGTCACATTCATCACTGAGATTTCAGCTTCTGTGTCACATTATTGGGCCACATCGTACTGGGAATTAAATTTGTTTAAATCCAGTAATTTTTTTAATATGCTAAGAGCTTGAAGAAAAAAAAGCTCCTTGTGGCTTCTGTGAGCCCCTTTTTAGGTACCTGCAGACATGAATGAGGTCCTTCACAGAGTTCACATCCAGTGGGTTAGGCAGGAGGAAGATCTCCATGCCAGATCACAAAGGAGGCTCAGAAATCTACTGAAACAGAGACCCCAGGATTGTACTAGCTGACCTGGGGGAGACCTTGGTTGCTGAATGGTATTTTGAATCCACTCATATTAGACTAGAAACCAGTGCACTTCCTGATGGCACTGAAAAGAAAAAAAATGAAATTCCTCATACCCTGAAAACTTAGTTTTTCCTATTCAAACATCTTGGAAGAAACCAACTACAGATTTAGCATCAGAGTTAGAACAGCAACAAAAAAAATCCCACCAAATTCTATGTTAGGCATCTCCTATATGCAATGGCACGTGGGAATTATGTAGCCCCTGTCCTCATGGAGCTGACAGTCTAGTGTGGGAAAAGAGACAATTGACTGAGCAACACCAATACAGCTATGATAAATGCTTTCATAAAGTACCCAGTGATGGAGGAACCTAGATGAAGGGTCCCAAGTTTATTTGGGGCTGAAGGGACCATACTATCAGGAGAGGTTGAATTGGGCAAAGTGATGTTTAAGGATCAGTAAAAATTAGCCAAAACAGGAAAGGGGGGATTTTTCAGGCAGAGGAAACAGGACATTCCAAGAGGAGTCCATTGCTGGCTGCCTTCTGACTACTGAACTACCATGTGAAGACACCCTGAGAGTACTTGGAAAGAAACTAAGACCCTTCCCAGCTCATGGATGCTCACAACCAGTTAAAGGAGGCAACACTTAAAACTGGAAAAGCTGAATAATTGAAATAACTTTGAGAAATACAATAAAAAATTTGTACAAGGGATTACATAATTTATTGACCCTGTTGGGTGTGTTAGATTCCCTGGATTGCCTGAATTTGAATCATAGGTCTGCCATTTTGTGGCCTCACATCTCTAAGCTTTCATGTCCTCATCTATAAAATGGCTACAATAATATTTCCTTGAAGGGTTAACATGACGATTAAGCAAAGTGATAACAGGTAAAGCAACTAGAACAATTCCTGACATTGGAAGAGCTAAGAACACTTTTCCTTTTATTTTTCTTCTTTTTAAAAAATGAGACATTAGACTTGCTCCTTCTATTGAGTCTACAGAAAAGGCTAGAGAAGGAATGGCTTATCTAGTAGTTTTTAGTTCCTCTTCTGCCTGTTGCAGCTGTTACAGAAACACTATACTTTTCATTATGAGAAGGCAATCCTGTGTAAATTCAAATCAGCAGTGGAATTCACTCTTTTCACTCAAACTTGAATGGATTTTATGCTTAGTGTGGTTGCTCTGGAACACAGGGAAGAACCTGAGGCCACCTGGGATTCATATACTGAGAAGTTTATGTTCCAAGTTGAAGCAAAAAAGAGACACAGAGAGGCCTGCACATATTGGGTCCCTGCCTAGCTATAGGGCCCAGACACAGGCCAAGGGAAGACTTGCTACCACTCCCTGATTCGTTTAAGATAAAACTTTGGATAGATTTATTGAGGGGCCCAAGAGGAACCTCTCAGCAACAATTTCACAGCAGTGAAGGCATTGCTGATTACGTCCCAAGTCACACGAAGACTTTTTCTCCTTAAATGCTATGTTGAGTCTTCTTTGTAAACCCACAAAGATGCCTCTTGGCTGAACTATATTTGACATTTTTAATAGGTGAAGGGAAGTCCTAGACACATGGGACAGCCTTTCTAAAAGGTTCCCACGCCTACCCTGACTCTCTTTTTAAAAGT